TGGTTTTTTACACATTTCCAGACTCCCGTTGTTTCTGTTCTGTATTTTTAGAAGCACCACATTCAAAATGTGGATATTTTTAAAATGATTAATACAAAAAAAAAATCTGTTTCACTATTTGAAATCATACCTTGAAGTACAAGATCCCTCTATTCAGTTTAATGTACGTTTTACAGTTTCACAACTCTTCTGGGAACAGAGCTGTATATATACCAGCGCACACAAACATACAGCATCATCCTGCTCTAATAGTTTGATATGATATTCCTCTTTTTGAATTCAAATGTGAGAATGTGGGATATATATTGAACTTATGAATGAGAAGATTAGATCACATGAGATGATTTCCCTCCCTGCTTTTGTTCTTTAGATCGCGTATCTTTGAGTTATCACAGACAACAAATCCAAATTAATTCCCAAACTATCATATCAAAGCATTTCTTATACTATGCCAACATACAAAGATAAGATAGCTTTGTGTGAGTGCACCGAGTACAAGCTATTAAAAAAATAATAATATTTAAGCTGTAAATGATACTTGGCTTTTAAAAAAAACTAAAACATTTGTGCAATACAGGAAGCCATCATTTACCTGAACCACACACACTCAGAACAAATTTCCTTCTAGTAACATTAGCAGGCAGAGCTCTGATTACAGTTTATATGAAAAACAGAGCATGCACTATATCAAGTTATCGGATGTAACTGTTAAGTTATTAAACTTTTCTTCTGCAAATCTCACATCACTATCGTATTCCAGAAAATTCCTGTCAGAGGATTACATAAGTATAATAAAAAAACGTTGTGATTAAGACATAGTTATCAGTTTATCTGCCTAACGACTGAGATATTTTTTGTCGGCTCAGTCAACAAGAGAACACTCCAAGGTCACAATGAAAAAAACAAAGTGTCCCTTTTTATTCATATATATATATATATATATATACTTTATGATATTGATTGTCAATTGAAAATGCATACGTGGGAGGAAAAAAGCTCTCAAGAATTGCTGTGCAATCAGTCAGAATAACCATTTCTACTCAATGACAAATGCAGTGCTTCGACAACCTAAATAAAAAGACTCATCACACAACAGAAGAAACTTTCATTTTATTATTATTACTTTTTTATTCAATAGAAAATAAAATTTTCCATGAAGAAATGTTTACCACCACTATTCCACTGCAATAACATTAACACGAGTGATAAAACAGCCTGAGTCAATAGCTCTAGATTTTTCCAAAGAAATGCAAACCAGCACCTTATCTTTAGAAAATAAGCATAATGTGATCTTGACTTTAATTCCAATTTTTTTAAAGCACTGGTTCTCAAAGTGCAGCTCATGGACCAACAGCAGGCCTTGGTGATATTTTGTGTGGTCAAGAGAAGGAAAAAATCCACTACTGCATATTGAATTCCTTAACAGTTTGTGTTAAAGCATGAAAGACTGGGACAAAAATAGAACAATTTTTCCTTTTCTTAGAACTCTTGCTCAACATACAGCTGCTTCAGTAATGATTAAAATATATAAACCAGTTCAAAAAGGACAGTTACTGACATAAACCACTAACCTTTGAACAAGCTCGTAAAAAACATTAAGTAGTTATGTGTATTGTCTCTAGGCGGGTCTCAGTTACATGCTGGCTCCCTAAAGTGTCATTCAGTCAACCAACCTTTGGAAAATCACTTTTAAATTATAAATTAAACTAAGTATATTTATTGAAGTCAAGCAAAATTTAACCTTCACACTGTGAATATTTTTCACGTTACAGTCCCTCGAGCTGCAGTGGGTTGAAATTTTAGACTTAATTCATGTTTCTTGTTCTAGTATTTTGAATTCATTGTAACCTCTTAAGTATTTATTTCTTTATATTTTGCTTCTGTGTCTTGATCAATACTTCCATGGGATTTCTGAAGGCCTTGAAAGTTTTTCTTTGGATATTGGCTGTGACTCATTTTCAGTCCACTCTTTGTACCTTAATATTTTCAGAGGAATTTTCTTTCTTTCTTTCCTTCTTTCTTTCTTTCTTTTTTTTGTTTGGTTTTGCCAAGCCACTTTACTCTCACCTATGACTCATTCAAGTATATAAAACCATCCACCTAACTCAAGGGAAACACATAATTTGTTCCCTTTTCTTTAGCCAAATGTACAGGCAGGCATACAATATCGTTTTTGCACCACCATATCATTTAGCTGAAAACTTGCCATATCTCAGTATGGTCTGTTCTTAAAAGACAATTTGAGAAGTAGAAGGCAAAAGAAGAATATTTGCAGACCTAAAAACCTATGGATACCTGAAAGTTGAGTCCTGAAGGAATAAGGAGGCTGCAAAATGCAAAATTACACAACAGCTGTACTTAAAATCAGTGGCAACAGGTCTTATGGAGTGATGAATCTACATTTCAGATTTTTGGTTTAAATCATCTACAGTATGTATGGAGGAGGTCAGGAGAGAGGCACAACCATGAGTGTGGATAGCCATCTGTAAAACTCGATGCATTTCTACCAGTGGTGTTGGGGTATCTTGTCGAAATTGATGAAATTATGAATGCAGAAAAGTATTTTTCGATTCTGATCCATCACGTAATACCATCAGGAAAACATCGGATTGGCAACAGCTTCATTTTTCAGCATGAAAATGACTCCAAACACATTGCCAATGCAGTAAAAGCATACTTTAATGGAAAAAAAAAACCATACAGTGGAACACCATCAGTCATGTATTGGCCTCCCCAGAGCCCAGAGCTTAAAAGTTATTGAAGCACACTGGAATCATCTTGACAGAGAACGGAACAAAAGACAGCCAACATCCAAAAAAGAGCTTTAAATGTCCTTCAGGAAGCCTGGAGACAAACTCCTGAAGACTTAACAGTGTGTTGAAAAGGAAAAGTGGTCATACTAAATATTGACTTTGAAGCTTGTTAGGACTGTACAAACTCTTACACCATAAAAACGTTTTGTGATTTCTATGATTTCTATGCTTTCTGTTGCCAAACCTGAGATAAATAACAAGAATTAACACAATGACTGGCAAATGAAATTAATTAAGTTGCTACTGAAGTTGTACTGTTCTCTCTCATTACAAAGCAATAATAAGTTGGGAAACCTTGGGTCCTAGAATTTAGGCATATGTTACTTTAAATATCATACTAAACACAGCTGAAGACCAAGCCCACACAGTATGTAAACAGCACTCCCAAACCGTAGCAGCCTGCCACATGTCGAAGACATAAACCGCCACACTCCAAACTCTAATCAGGAACAGCTCAAGAGCCAACGGACAAATGCCATGTCCTCAGGCTGAAGTCATGCTGATCGTCATCTATGGGGCTGCTTTCTTGCATTTGCGCAATAACTCTAAAATTCTAAACATGCTGTGTCAGAGTTATGCTGAAAAACGTGTTTTCTTTTGTTGCAGCAGATAGCTTATGTTGTGAAGTGCCACAAAGTGCACACCAAACCATGTTTATTAAAATGTGTGTCAAAGGAGTTGAAAGTATCCTTTAACATAAGCATTAACCCAATTAGAACCGTCGCAGATCTACACTTAAACTCTCATTATAGTGAGGCAGTATCGTTATACGCTTCTGTAATGCACGGAGTTTCTAAAGCAGCATAGTTGAGCACCTCTGAAACCTCAGCAGCACTTCGCCTGTCTCCTCTCACGACCCGTCCGCGACACCCATAATTCCCCGCGCCAGGACAAGATGGAAGAAAACAGCGACCGCCGGAGAACAATGTTTTGGCAATAAAACCCCAAAGCGGCGATTACAGAGAGAATACGGGCACGTTTGAAACCAGCTGCGGTCATGTGTAGGTGAGTGGGAAATTAAATTGGTTTTTAATCGGAGCGATTTTCTCTTAGGACTTTGTAGAGATTCGTGCGAACGATTGTCTGGCTCGGCGCAAACGGGGGATGCACGGAGAGCCAGCATCATTGTTTCTCTTCCACGGGCCGTAATGCGGGTTTTCAGTCGGGGCAGCTAACGGCTAACGAGCTAGCTCGTGGCAAGTTGATTGTTATAAACACAGCTGCTGCAAAGCACGCAGTTTTCATGTAGCTCGCTTATTAGGTCGGAAGTCCGCATGTACGAGGGGAAACGGGGAGGAATGATTTGATATCCGACTGTCCCGGTGAGCATTGTGTGGTTTTAATTGCAGCTAAAGTTAGCTATCAATGAACGGAGCGCCAGCGTCGCTCGCAGCCAGACAGATTTGATTTCACGAGCGTCATCAAAGCTGGGGAATTGGAGAATGAGCGTTTCGTTTCGCTGAGCTCACTTCAAAGCCAGCGTCCGTTTTAACTTCACGTTATTAGCCATTTCTTGTATTTTCCTGCCCAAAATGTGCCAGTTCACTTTTTAAAAAGCTCCCTACAAATAATGAAACTGGTTAATTTCATAAATATTCACCTTGATCAGCGGTGCTGTTTTAGCGTGAGCTAGCTTGATAGCAAGTATAGGTAACATGCTAAAAGATTATATTTCTTATCAAATTATGAATTGCTGACCACACACACGGTTATTTGGAGTCCTGTAACTCTGGGTATTGCTGTGACTTTCCTTTGAGGGGCTGATTTTTCGTTTCTGGGATATTTTTAGGCGATTGTTTTGATTGAGGTCGCAGAGATGCGTTGTCTCATTGTGGTTAGTCGGGTAGCTAACTATGCTAACTAGCTGGCTAACTACTATGCATCACAAAAGCTCATCCGCTTTCTGTTGAACAGCAGTGTCACGTAGCCAAATGGTCAGCTGGTGCAGACCAAACAATAAATTCTCACTCTGCTTGTTCTCCACAAACACCGCGCTTACAGTCCCCCGACTGTGTCTGCGTAAAATCACTCCTAATGTCTGGCACGATTTGACCTAAATATCGTTTGTTTTAGGCAAGTGTACTCAGCCGATTAATTTGCCAGTACTGCAGCCCAGTGCCTCCAGCTTTTGCGCTCATGCTGGGTTTATTAGTCAGAGATGCAAGCGGTGTGGTCCAGCATGTATCAAAGTGCAAAACAATAGGGATGCACGTCTAAGCGATCAAGCTACTACGCCGATTTTATTTTGGCTGCCGTCCAAGTCACATGTGGCGTCAGATGTAGAACAATACGTGAGGAGGATTAAATATTTCAGATGCAATCTTTTATTTTTTTTTTCCCCCACCTCCTCCTGCTGCTATTGAATAGAAATGGTGTGGTTTTAGTGCCCCCTCAAAAAAGCTTAACAGTTTTGGGGTTTCTATGATTTTACGTCACCAAGCTCACATGCATTTATATTAATCCTTACCATGTCTTTTCTGGTTTATTCAGAAAATACCTGTATTCCTTTATGTAAAATCAAAAATCTTCATTCACACAATTTTCAAACTGAAATTTCTTGATGAAACATGTCAAATTCTGTGGTATATTGAGTGTATTGATGCAAGTTATTATATACTAATTCAGTCTATTGTTGTAATAGATGTTTTATTATGCTTGGTTGTAAATTATAAAGTGAGGTATTTGTTTTAAGTAAGACATATCGCACAATTTAAAAATGTTTCCATTTGGAAACTGAATATATTTGTGCAAATCATACCTTGAGGTTTTCAGTTATCAAACCCAGTGTTTTGGTCAGTCCTAGAAAATTCTGTAATAAATAAAAAGTTTAAAGATTTAGAAAAATTTAGAGGTTATTATAGGGCACAAAGGCTTTGTAGCAGAGTTAAAATAATTAGGTAATTAGCCAATATGTAGGAATTATTTAATCAATAATGGTTTAATTTGTTGTAGCTCTGCTTTGTAGCTGTTATAGATTGAGGAAGTGATGCTGTGATAAGGACACACATCAAAATGAAGTGGTTTGTTTGGATCTGTGAACTCTCGTGCCTGTTATCATGAACACGGCTTTTTATCTGTTCTCCCTTTCAGGATATTCTCCTCCTGCATTCCTTTTTAGATTAATTACCCTCCTCCCCTGCACAAAGGAAACCTACCACCATGAGTATTATTCAGGACAAGATAGGCAATGAGTTTTTGCGAAACGGAGGCATGGACCCCAATTTTGCACCAGGTATGCTTATGTTCAGCCACTTACCGCCAGTCACCAGCTTTACACGGCTGGCCTCGCAGTCCGTCATGGGTGAGTTGCCCCAGGAGATGATCCTGAAGAAAGAACGTGACTCACCTCCAGAACACCAGGGCGGCACTGCTGCAAACACAGGGGGCTTCCTTCACAGCATGGGCATTAAGCAGGAGCGGCCAAGTGAGCTGGATTACCGTATGCCCCTCTACGGCGTGGGTGGAGCACAGGGGGTGAACTGTGGTGGAGGGGGCGCGGGGAAGAGTGGTACCGACATGGCAGATATGTCTTTTGGAACCCACCACCAAAATCACCAGAACATGCTCCTGCATGACCTCAGCCTCAGCAATGTCCGCACCCTTGGAGAACCGGTGAGATGGGGTCACTTTTTTTTAGATATTATTTCAGATTTATTGTTGTTTAGTTTAGTGTGAAACTTTCCAGTTTCCTTGTTTCTGCTTGGTTTCTTCCCTTTACTTTCAGGGTGGAAATTTTCATATAATGGTGCCTGGTTGGCTGTGACAGCAGTGATAACAGCCATCTGTTAACTGCGTGTATCAGAATCAGAATACTTTATTAGTCCCTGAGGAAATTATGTGGTTACAGTTGCTCAAAGACAACAAGAACCACAAAGAACTGAACTAAATTAAATAATCCAATGCTTGTTGTGTTTGCCTTTAGATGTCTGGGAGACAAGTTAAAGAGCCAAAAGAGTCGTCAGGTAGAAGAGGACGGAAGAGCAATGGAGATGGACAGGGAGGCAAAGCTCGAAGGAAACGCAGTGATGCTGCAAAGGTCGGTGACTTTTCTAGACTCATTATACAAGAAAATGATGTGCATTGTTAGTTGACAGGTATCCTACAGTGTTGATTCAAATCAGCAAATTATTATTATGAGCTTATACTCATGTTTTTTGTATTTTGTTTCTGTTTTTTTCCCCTTCTAGAACTTGATGCTGGATGCAGATGGAGCCTGCCTATCCCCCAACTCTAAACCACATATCTGTGAGCACTGTAATGCTGCCTTCCGCAGCTCCTACCACTTGCGTAGACACGTGCTCATACACACAGGTGAGAGACTTTCAGTGCTTCTTGGCACTGTTTTCATGCATTTAAACAATAAATACATTCAAATGATTTTTTTGTTGAAGTTGCTTTGCAATGCTTTAAGTTGGGGGGATATGAAGTGATGAGAGATGCAAAAAGGATGCGTTAAATCAGTAACAGAACAGAGAAAGCTACAAGAGACAGTGCCTGTTTCTTGTGTCTCTTTGCTTTATAACACATCTGAAGTTTCTATAAATCACATAGCTCCAGATTCATTTCAAGGCAGCTGGAATCTGCCATTAGGGGTAAAGATCTGTTACCAGAATTTGAGGAATGAAAATGAAATTTGGATTTGTGATGTGATGGATCTACATATGTGGTGTTGTGCTCTTCACCACAAGCACCTGGGGCCTCTTTTGAAACCAGACAGTCACTAAAGCCAGCGTTGAGTCACGGATTACTCATGTCTATCTGGAAATCTTAATCATTCTCTGTGCTGGGAATTCCTTACTTGGCTCATTGAAGTAGAACTCATAAACCATTTAACGGAAAATCCATCCAATATGATTTTTATTTTGAAACCATTTCCTTGTTTTTCTATTATTACAGACATTGATTTGTAATAGCATCTTTGCAATGCTATATCTGTAATGCAGTGCAGTTTCTCAAACATGCTAATATGTTGTTATATCTACTGGTTACTACACGTCTCTCACAGGTTTCTTTATATTTACGCAACCCGACCAGAATAGCATAGATTTTATTGTGACTTCAGTTATGGCGCGGGCTGGGATCTAATTAATGTGGTGAGCGGATGGTTGTACTCTTGACTGCACAGGTGAGAGGCCTTTCCGGTGCAGTCAGTGTAACATGAGCTTCATTCAGAAGTACCTGCTCCAGCGGCACGAGAAGATTCACAGTGGTGAGTCCTGACACAGTAACTCAAATAAATGTCTCGACCAGAACAGCGTGTTTATTTTGTAAACTTGTTGGGAGTTGCACAGGCCCTGATGCTGTCACTGCTGTATTTTTCAGGGGAAAAACCTTTCAGCTGTGACCAGTGTAACATGCGCTTTATCCAGAAGTACCACATGGAGAGGCACAAAAGGACACACAGTGGCGAGAAGCCATATCGCTGCGACACCTGCCAACAAGTAGGCACTTTGTAGTCTCTCTGTCTCTGTTTAGTTTTGTGTACATTTCCTTGAGCTTTTAAATATGTTTGAAGTCCTTTTTCTTTCAGTTGTGCATATATTATCATAATTTGCATCTGAGCATTTATATCTAAGCCACTCTTAAGCCCTGGTCTTAATGGGATTAGCTGTATCACACAAGAGGTCAGCGAATATAAAGTTCTGTTGTTCAAATTCAGTGGTTATGTTCCCAGCTGCTTACCACTGCAGTGGATTTTCTGTTAAAATTTCAAAAAGGGGATTTTAGAGATACTAATGTCCATCAGCGGAGACTAAACCCACATTTCTCTCTTTTAGTTTTTCTCAAGAACAGACCGGTTACTGAAGCACAAACGGACTTGTGGAGAAGCCATAAAGAAGGGCCTAGACCCAAGCATGCTGGAGCTCAGCGAAGCAGAGCTAGGCCAGGGCAGCTATTCACTCACTCAGGGAAACTCTACCACCTCTGGACGCAGGAGAGCAAAGTCCAAAAATGGGGAGGGCAGCGAACGCAAGAGAAAGAAGAATGCCTCGGCGGCAGGGGCCTCATCTTCTGGGGGGATGGCCCGTGACTTGGGCCTGCAAGATTTCAGCATGGACCCCTCGGGCTCTGACCAGGTCATGCAGGGACGTACTCCCAAATTGGTGTTCAAAAAGGCTGGCCGTAAGGGACTTGATAAGGGCCTCCTTTCTCTGGAAGATGGTTCTGATGGACAAAAACTGTTGGGTCAGAAGCCCAGCTCCATGGATCACGTGGAGGCTTCTGGCCTAGATAACATGGGTCTGCTTCAGGGACCCGGGGGCAACAAGCAGGGGCCCACCACCAGCAGCAACTATGACGATGCAATGCAGTTTGTGAAAAAGCGGCGCTACCTCCATGCAGTTAACAATGACTTTGGAGTTGGCTCCCTGCACATGGCATCCCAGGGCAGTAGCGTAATACAGGGCTCCCTGGGACCTGAGCCCACCCTGGCCATGCTAGACTCCTCGCCGCTGGAACTGAAGCACGACAAGTCGGGCATTCCAGATGAGGTATTGCAAAGCCTGCTAGACCATTATAGCCATAAACCAGAGGGAACACACCACCATGATGTGACTTTTGACCTGTCAGACCACCCACACCATGTGGACCTTCAGCCAGCAGCTCCTGTTACTCCGGAGTTGGAGGATGACTCGCCGAATGGTGGTGACAAAACGGCAGTGATGAGCGAGTACTCAAAGTTCCTCCTGCAGGCTCTGGAACGCACCAGCCATAGCGGACCCTTCCCCAGCCTCGGTGCAACAGGGCCCTTCCCGCTCCTCTCGAGCAGCTCCAGTCCCACAGGGCCCCTGTTCTCTGACAAACACGTGTACACCACATCCCCACTGGACTGTGGCTACCCGCCTGCTGTCTCCTCCCCGCTGCCCATCGCTGCTCCTTCATCAACCTCCTCCTCGTCCTCCTCAAAATCCCACTATGGTATGCTCGTTGGATCCCCCTCCCAGACAGGCTACCACCTAAGCTTGGAATCTGCTAGCCACCAGCAGCTGACTCCATCTCAGGAGCTCACCGAGCAGTTGGAGAAGCAGCACTCACCTGGCACCTTCAACCTACCTCCCCAGGACCTCACTGCCCCGGCAGAGAGCTCCAAGGGGCAGCAATCCAAGGCTGGAGGAAGCGCTCCAGCACCCACAAATGGCTCCACCTACCCAGACCTGTCCCCACTGAACCCCCCAAAAGAAACCACATACCAGATTGAGAACTTTGCCCAAGCCTTTGGCTCCCAATTCAAGTCAGGACGTCGGACCCCTCTGAGCTACGGCAGTGATCCTGGGACAGAGGTCGACCATCGAATACGGACTCCAGTGTCAGAATTCTCAGGGTATACCAGTTTGTTAGCTGACATCAGTGAGCCAGTGAGTACAGGATCAAAAACCCCGACAAGCCAAAGTTTCAGATAAGGGTCAAACGAGGTGTATCCAGTAAGGGGGGGCTGTTCTGTTACTGTTCATAAAAGCCCCCCTCCACCATCCTAATTTTGTTCTTGTAGCAAACTTTTTTTTTTTTAACACTGCCATTAAATGTTAATACAGAAATGACCAGGGAGGGTCTTCCATGGCCTCAAATGCAATTTTTTAAAAAAAAAATCATTTTTATTATGTAGTCGCTTAATTTTCTGTTCAAGAGTAGTGATTTTTGATATGAACGTACCGTAGATATAAATGTAATTTAAAACATTTAGATGGTAGCTATGAACTTGCTGTTTTGTTTTGTTTTTTTCCTTCATCTTCTGTACCCTTGTTTTACCAATCATCATACAATTGTAAAGTAATAATAGTGTTGATGATTTCAGTAATAATAACATTTGTGTCAGGGAAAGGCCCAGAATTCAAATGGCAAAAAAAGTATATATTGTCTGTTACAAGAAACGTATTAACTCAGGAAAATAGGCAAAATTGTGTAATAAGACTTTGTATTATGAGATGCAATTAGCACAGTTTTACAGGTATTCTTGATACTTCAAAGCTTTGATTTTTTTTCTTCGTTTTTTTTTTTAGGAGGGGTGGGTTTATTTAACTTGTCAGAACAAC